TATTAGTTGTTATACTTAACCCAAACGTGGACCAACGTCGACCCCAAGTACAGGGCAAGCAAAGCCCAATCCACAACCCCTAATTAAAGTGAGTTTAAGACTTTTGTGCTTGGGTAGGGCCCAAGTTGATCCAGAAAAGAGCAAAAAAAAAAAAAAAACGCAGAAAAGACTTTTTTTATTTTTTATTTTTTTGTGTAGAGCTGATGGACGGATGGCTAGAGGCTGAGTGGCTGACATTAAAACCAATTCTACCGCAGACTCACGAATTTCAGTTGCTTATGTAAAAGCCCATGAACTAATCTCATTTTTTGTATTATTGTATATAAGCCCTTCAACTATTTGAAAGCAAATAAGCCTCTTTAATTCCTCAAGATAAGCAGAGAAAAACCCAGTGTTAGTGGAGCTCCACGCTTGAAGTTAAGGACCATCAACTCCGTACATGTGTGGCACCAACTTTTCATGTCGACACAAAAATAATATAGTTATAATATCACGTAAAATTATAAATTTATAATAATAATATAATATTATATATATATATATATATCGATTCATATGTATATTCCAAAGTAAAAAGAAGAGTAAGCGTGGCATTTTGGAATGTGGAATTGTGAAAATCAAATAAGCAAATCAGAAGTTGCTTGTTGCCTGTGCAAGAGAGTAAATGTCACACAAGCATTAGAAAAGGGGAGCGATGGACGTTAACCACACATGCAGTCGTGTGCAGAGCAAACTTTGGGCCTTTTTACTCAACACGAGGAGTTAAAGGAGCGTACTTGCGTCAAAAGTAGTACTGGGGCTTATACACAAAAATGGAATAGGCTTTTGCCTATCTAAAAACCAAAAACAATAGCCAATGACTAATAATTCAATAATTATCTCTTTTTAATAAAGATAAGAGGTCCTTAGTTCAAGTTAAGGGATGAGAGAAAGTTATTTCTCATTTACAACTTAAGAAAAAAAAAAAAAAACAAACTCCAAAACAATGAAGTTGGCCAAAAGAAGAAAACCAAACAATGAACAAAACCTAAAACTTGAACCTTCAAGAAAAGCAAAATCAATGACTATCAATTACCAGTATCATAACCAATGGATCAAGTATCAAAGATACAACCGGACCCTGATTTTGTGTTTATTTTGAGTTGTGTTAGCATTTGGGATGATATTATGACTTCTTCTAGATGATAACCGAAAAAGGAAAGAATTCAGTTTAAAGAATGCAGGTATAAATTTAACAAAATGTTTATTGACCTTCAGGGATTAGCCAAAACCCATCATACATCAATCTCGCTCCCTCTTTTGATGAGTGAGAAGTTAAAAATCCACGAACATTGCACCACTCAGGCATGGTTATAGTTACTTCTATTTCATCTCAAATGAAAACCTGATATTTTAAGCACTAAGCAACAAATGTCTATCTCTAACCTGAAGACGCAGGGGTGGCAGCTTTGTGGGGAACAATCACTGCCTCACTGCATGCAGCTTTCATGTCAGCAAGTTCTTCCAAACGTTTCCATTTAGCTTCACGTCTTGCTTCAATTGCCTTTTCCTTTGATTCATCTTCCTGAAACTTGAGCAAGCATTCGTTGAACATCTCAGGATCCAGATCACAGAAGATTTTGCGGACATTTAAGGTCAAGCTATGTACAGCCTGGTTCCAGTGATTTCTGGCATTTTTCTCCAATGCAGGGAAAATAATGGGCAGTATAACCTTGCGGTTTTGTATGATTAAGTTCTCAATGTGATCATTGTTCCACAAGAACAAAGACCGCTCAGCTACCTGAAAAGACAAGAAATTATCAATTGCATAAAACAGAAAAACAATCTACATAAAGGAGAAATAGCTGAAACCTATCATCTGGCATTCTTGCCAAGACAAAAATACAAAGATGATGATGAATCCATATACCACAAGGACTTGTGAAATATTGCTGGTGTAAAGAGTGTTTAAATCTTCAAATCTTTGATCAGAATGATGACACTTACAGCTTGCTAGCCATTCTATCAAGATTTGACATCTGCAATCTCTTTCTAAACCTTTACAAAAGTTAAAGAAAATGCTAATCTAACACCATTAAACAAATGTTAAGCTGCATCAAGAGCTTAATTTGAACTAATGAAAGCTTTTGACTACAGATTGGACCCACCATACAGTCAATCGACTCAATTCTGCAGCTAAGTATCAATTCTGGTCTGCATCCAATACCCTCCCTTTCTTTCTCCACTTCTCTCCTTTATGAAATGGGAGAATTTCAAAATTCAAACGAAAGGTGATGGAATATCCAGAGTTATCCAGAAAAAAAAAAAAAAGAAAAAAAAGACACACCTGCAAACTTAAATTTGCATTGACAACATCAACAAACAAATCTATTAATAAACTTAAACCCTAACATGGAAGGCAACAGAATTGAGAGGAAAAACAATCTTCTTTAACCTTCTAAGACAATGAATTTCAGCAAAAACAATAACAAAGAGGTGTTACAAATGATACAATGTAAATCTCCAACACGGCACAACACAAATAACATGCTCAATTTAATTAAAAATACCAATGAAACAGACAGATTGTGGTAAGCATCCATGTTAAAATTGCAAACATGCTTATAAAAGCCATCTTTTGAATCTGAAGAAATTAACACCTCACAACAAAACAGAATCAACATTTCAACTCACTACCTGAAAGTGCATACTGTTCAAACAACGAGCAATTTGGCGAAATAAGGGCACCATGCAGCGCTGGAACTCTGGTGGTTGAGTCGCCTCCAAAACTTCCTCCAATTCATTTAGGAACATGACTTCCTTTGAGCTATTAGTGATAGGCCAGTACTTTAATAATCCCCTAATAACAGTATCAGCAAGCTTGCAGTCTTTGTCAACAAACTGTGTAATACAGTAAGATAACTGATGATGGTACATTTCTAAGCATTTTGGCTTATGCAGAGGAATTAGAGCACGAACAAGGAACACTTTGTGTTCTTCTTTCAGAGGCAGAGCAAATCCATTTATAATACTGCCCAAAATTTCTAGAAATTCAGCAACCCCATTATGTTTCTCTGTCTCAAAAATAAAATGGAAAAAAATGTTGTTTATAGCTTTCCTGATGAATGACCGATGCACCATAAATTTGCCATAGATGCGATGGAGAATTGTTTTCAAATAGTCCCTTTCTCCGGGATCTTCAGAGTCAAATAAATCAAGCAGCTTGAGGATGAACGACTGATCAATGTATCTTTTTGCCAATTTGGCATCCGTCTCTTGTGATGTAACAAACCTTAAGAAAAAATCATACACAATTTGCAAGTGTGGCCATGCAGGATCCATTGAAAGTTCATCCTCTTCCACATCAAGAGCTTCCACAACTTTATTCTCACGTGGTTGAGGAGTGAGACACCTAAACAAATTTGCAGATACCATTTTTACAACCTCTTGCACAACAGTCTCTGGGAATTTTCCATTTGCAGAAGTCACATAATCCACAAGCTCTAACAAAGTTTGTCTCTTGATCTCCTTTTCTTTAAGGTTCTTTGTTGCATCAGTGAAGTCAAATACAACACAACATAAATTCAGCTTTTTTATAAACAAGTTCTGCTTCTCTGAACCTGGAACATCCTTCAATCCAGGCAGTGCTTCATAGGAAGAAAAGGCAGAATTTCCATTAGGCTTCAAACTAGCACCTTTACGACCAGCATCTGATGCAGCATTTGGCCCTGGAATAGAATCACTTTTTCTTGAACCACTGTAAGCTTTAGAATAAGTGGCATGGTTTCCACCATGTTCACGATTTTCAGTGGTTTTTGATGACTTTCGTGGAAGCTTACTTAGAATCTGTTTGAACATAATTCTAATAGGTGAACAGAATGCCACCTCCTGATACCACTACACCAACTTCCTCACCCTGTCAAATGCTAATCAAAATCCATTAAACACCAAACCAAACATCCATCCCATTTACAGAAAACCCAGAATCACAAAACTCACTTCAATTCCAGGTAAACTACTGGCAAAAATCTAAATTGTTTTGCCCACCTCGAAGCAACCCAAAAAGGGAACCAAAACCCCCTTTCTCGTAGGAAGTGAACCTAATCCAGAACACCTGCAAATCAAACAAATTCCTGATTCTTCAAATCCCAACCGACCAGAATGGAAACCACTTTTTTAGTTTCAAGCACCTACAAAGAAAAAAAAAAAAACCAACTCTTATCTCCCAGAGCCCAATTTCAAAAAAACAAACTTTCAGGCTTAATTCAAAAACCCAGAAACATAATGTCACTCCAAACAAAGATTAGCAGGAATTTGCATTAAAGAGAGAAAACCCTATAGTTTTCTGTTCTTCCACAGGGAAATCAAAGGCGAGTTCACCACATTCCCCTTCAATTTCCCCCAAACCGAATGAAAAGAATCAGGCTATACTTCCATAATAGAAATTATATAAGAATCGAAGACTATAATAATCTAGAGGAAAACTACTTAAAAAATAAATAAATCATATGCAAAGTTGAATAAGAATTAGAAAGCTGCTACTACTTACCAAGAAAGAATACAAAATTTGAGTTGTTGGGTTTTGCTCGCTGTTGATTATTAACCAGGAAAATATATTTTCTTAAATGTTTGCCTGATTATATTCTCGTGATTTCCGTTCGTTCTTCTTCCTCGAGAGCCAGTCAATCCATGCTTTTTTCCCTACCATTTTCTGGGTTCAAAAGGTCAAAATAAAAAAAATAAAAAATAAAGGAAGACAACGACATCGTTTCCTCATTAATCATTTCATTTTTCCCTTTTTTTGGGGTAAAAGTCATTGCATCAGTTTACCCATTGTCTTGTTCGGGCAAAAATATTCATTTTATTGAATTAAATAGGAGTAGATGAATATTTCAGGAAAATCTATATATGAAAGTGATGCTCCCTCTGTTTTCTCTTTTTAATTTAATTTTTTATTTGTAATGTTTAAATTTAATTATTTTTAAAAAATATTATTTAATATATTTATTTTTATTTTATTTTTATTTTAAAAGATAATTATAAATTATATTAAATATAAAATTTTTAATAAATTATTATATTTTTATTTTATTAAATAAAAAGATTAATTTTATTTAAAAAATTAAATTTATTAAAAATGAACAAAAAAATATTATTTATTTATTAAAAATCTCGTTTTTATGTTATGATAAGTGATTTATTAATAAAAAAATTTGCTGACAATAAATCTTTACCACCTTAGAAATAATTTTTTTGGTTTGTTTACTTAAGGTTGCGTTTGGTTGAACACTAACTTTCCCAGGAAAGTTTTTTTTTCTTTTTTTTTTAAGAAAAGTGATTGGTTAAAGTACTATAAAAAAAGTAATATATAAAATGTTACTTTTGTAATAAAATTTTATTAAAATTTTATTGTGTTATTAATTTTTCTATATTTAATAAAAAATTGAAATAATAAAATTTAGTAAGGAAAATTGTTAAATAGATCTCATATAGAAAAGTTGTGGAAAACTTTTTTTCTTGAAGAAAATAAGAAGAAAAGTTTACAAGGTAAGAAATATGTTAGGAAAAATAAAAAATAAAAAATAAAAAAATTACTTTTGCCGTTATTTATTATAATCTTAAGGTGTATAAATATTAAAACACTTTTACAAAATCCTAAAAAATAACATTTGTCAGAAAAATAAACCAAACACCCCATAATGGAACACATAAATCAATACATATATATGCCAATGATTTAGTAAATTAATGAAAATCTCATTTTAGTAAAAATAGGAGGCTATAAATTCAAGTTGTATGATATATAAGTGAAATAAATTAAGATATAAATTAACAACCGAAAGAAAATTATATTACATTATATAACCCAAGATAAAAAATCAATATGTATACTTTTATCTAATTTCATAATTATTACGAACGTTTATTGTTAATAATATTATCAATAAATTTGTTTCATTTTTTATATCATAAGTTAAGTATTTAATATTATTATAGATCCTTAAATCTATTGGTATGAACAAAGTAATTTGATAATAATTTTTTTTTAGTAAAAATAAATTATTTTAAATTTGAATTACATAGTATTTAAATAAAATAAATTAATAAATAAAAAATAATTACTATCTATTATATAACTTAAACTACAAAATCTCCCACTTTGATACCAAATGAAGATCCTTTAATAAATTGATATTAATTTGACTAAACAATTACTAGTCGTCACTAGTTAACAAAGCTTTAAGTTTTGAACATTTGAAATGCTAGCTAGCTAGCTAAGTTTGAACTTCGACGTGATTGAATCGAGATTTCAAAGACAAAATCTACTGTGATGCTTACATTAGCTTGACTTGAATTCCCCAATGTGAAGGAAAGAACCAAGTCCTTGAAATTGTCCTTCTCAAGCGTCGCTTGGAGGCAGCTCGACAACATTGTTGACCTGGACCATTATGAGGTAGACAACGTCTGATTTCAGCCGAACCATTCAGCCCTTACCAAGTCACCCGAACTGACCGTGACAACTCGACCTTTCACTACCCCTATCCTGTACATATTTGTTGCTTTCCCTTCTAGAATCCTAAGAATTTAACTAGCTAAACCATACTGATTAAACTTAAAATATTTTTTTCACCGTTTTACTCTTAGATGCTGTAAGTTCTTGCAAAAGCAAAAGCATATTTTCGAATCGGTGGTACAAATATACGATAGGAAAATAACTCTTTCCTTTATCAAAACTCTTCCAAAAATCTCAAGGAGCAGAAAATCATCCCTTACTCCTTGCTCTACTCCAAGGGCCAAGCTTGGATTGACTGGAAAGCTACTGAGGACCACAAATGCGCCGTATACGGCTAGCATACCTAGATACAAACCTCATTCTGAGGATTCATTCCATCGTCTTTCTATTTTATTCAACACATTGAAAGGTCTTGAAACCTCTCCGAATTAACATCAGAGGGTTTTAGTTAGTTAGAGTGAACTCTGATGCCTCTCACCCTCACCTCTCATTCTCCTGCATGTGAGAGGGAAACAAAGGTCATTTTCAACTACTAACACGTAGCAATACATTGAATTGAAATCAAATAAAATAAGCGGAAAAACAATTGTGGTCCAAGAGAATTGGAAGAAAACATATCCGCACTACTATCTATCATACACTGATTTAGTGGCCAGCAATCCAGCAGATAATCAATTTTGCAGGATGTTACAAACGCCGAGTTCATTTTAACTCAACAGATAGCATTAACTTTATTTTTGTTCAAAGTGTACAAGATTGTTAGAACTACATGGGTGAATATCAAATCCAAGTAGGTTATCACTGTGCCTAGGCAGATTTTGATAGTAGGAAATACCTTGAACATACTAATAGATTTTGTATAGAAATCCCCCTATCCCATGTGTGCAAGTAGCATTGCATATTTTAGGAGAAAAGAAGGAAATACATAAACAAGCAGAAGACTGGGGGCAACCAAAGATACAAGTCTGTTGCCATAACTGCTTTTGTTTTACAATGAATTCTTCTAATCATTTTACTATTACAAAAGAATGACACGAGTGAGTTGAAGGAACCACTTTAAGAATACATACTCCACAGAACAGAAGCAGAATTTTGATAGTTACCATTGGGAATGAAATTGCAAGATGCCATCTAAACATTTTATCTCGTAATGATAAGAGAGGTAAGAAGATTATTACCAAAACTCTCCTAGCATTACAAATTATCAAGTTTGCCATCAACAAAAGCTTGAATTGACGGTTCTCTTCCCAGAAAGTCTGAAAGAATTTCAACAGGTTCTTTAGCTCCTCCTGGTGCTAATACCTGCCAAGAAACCGAAAATTCTAATTATTTGCTCTATAGAATGACTTTGCTAGCATAAATGTTCATGCAGAATTCTTAAGGCAGAGAAACTCTGATGAAGCATTAGGACTGTTATGCAACCAAGAAGGTAGAAAGAAAGAAAGGCTTTTATATTTTTTAGGACAAAAGACAAAATAATTAAATTTACAGAGACACATTTAAGCAATGGTCAGCCATGTTTATGTCATCATGCAACATACCTTTTTCCTAAACTGCATACCAACATACTGGTTCAAAAGGCCATCACGGAACTTTGAGGCAAATATATCAGCTGCAAAAACCTAAAGGTTGAATTTTTGACACATCAGTAACAATTTATTCATTTCAGATAGTTCTGCAAAGTTCTGCAAATTAGGATAAATATATCCTCCATGACAAATTTGTAGAGAATATATGGCAACATGTCATAAAGTAACTAAAAATGCCAAAATGAACATCCAGAAAATGAAAGTGTAACAGGCATGTCAGAATAGGTGAACACATACCTCACTCCAAATACGACTGTAACAAGTAGCTTCATAACCAATTGCACAGCGTGGAAAACATGAAGCGGGATTCGTTCCTTCTAACATTGGCAAACCCAACATCACCTGCTAACACATAACTTTAATCTTTAGCGATCAACTTCACATAATGTACCACCATAAAGCAACAAGAGAAACACTAGTTTACCTTAGGATGAAGATGCTTGAATAACTCAACAATGTCAACATCTTCAGCTGAATGTATAATTTGATCAAAAAGACCTGATAATACATAACTTTAATCTTTAGAGACCAACTTAAATTGATTAAGAGAAAGAAACTCCTAGATCCTGCTTGGAACCCCATCCATTGTTGTCTATAGGCATAAAATTCCTAGAAGTTAAACACAAGGCCAGGCCCACCTACACCAACAGTTGCTTCCCTCCCTTTAGGAAGGAGAGGTCAAGGGTTCTTTTTTTTGGCCAACAACTGCACAGGTCAAGGGTTCAAATACCTTACCCTTGTCCCAAACAAAAAAGTACCCAAAGAAGATCATAAAAATTATGCATTATTAACATGAAACAGCTATTAGATGAAAGTGTGCTATGATTGGAGATCAAGGCTAACTTTAAAGCAAACATATTAAAATGCAATATCACATTCATGATATCATAGGTCTACGAGACTTACAATAAAGTACTTCTTGCTTAAATTTAAGAGCTGAAAAGGAATTCCGCCATCGCTTAAGTGAATCACAAACTTCATCTTTGATGGGTTTTGTAATGTCCTGCAAATCACCATCTTATCAAACACCAGAAATGAGGTTTGCTTTAATATACACACTGAAAACTATCAACTATAACTTTGAGAATTCAATTGAAAAAACAAATTCAAAAGATTGATATACCAGAAAGATAGGAAGGGGAAGCATCTCAGAATCCAACCCTAAAATGTAGATAAAAGTATAGCTGTTGCAGAAAAGCAAAGCCTTACCTGGTGGAAGCCAGATATCAACTTCAAGGAGAAGCTCTCATAACACCTTAATCATACAAAAGAATACAGCAATGAGTTTTTTCTTTTCTTTTTTCTTTTTTTCCTTTGTTCTTTTTTTTTTTTTTCGTTGTGTTAACAGATTAAGCAACACTATTAATCTGACTCACCAGTTTTCTAGCAACAGAGCTGGGATCTCAAGGAAATCAGGGTCAATGCGCAGACCAGAAAATCTAGCAAATGATGCACGATTGCATACATGTTGGACCTAAATGATATCATAAGTGAAAACCATACCATCAAAAGTTCAAAACATAGTAATATCAAATCTGTTCTAAATATTGTACAAAGTCTGTTCCAATTAAATACCAAACATTAATCAAAAAGATATTTTAGAGTAAACCTACCACATGACTAAACTCATGGAAAAGATTAACAACTTCAGAAAATCTCAACAACCCAGGGACACCACAAATGTCCTTCTCAAACTGAGATATAAGTAGTGCCACTGCAATCTAGTTAACAAAAATGAGAAAAAGAAAGTTACAGTAGCTGTACTTGCTTCAAGTGCATGTAACAATCATAATCTCTATTGAGATTTGAGAAAAATTATTCCAAATACACAACATGAGAATAGCAGAAAGATGAGCTTAAAAAAGCCCCAGTGCTGTATATTTAGGGACCAGAAAGAAAAAGGATATTTCATAATAATCACCTGCCGAGCACCATTCAGTCCTACTGCACCATTTTCAAGAGCCACAACACAAGTGTGACCATATTTCCCTTCCCTGTTGCACAAAGGAAACCCATCGCTTTTGAACTTATGCAGTTAATCCAAACAAAGACAAAGAACTGAATTAATAGGAGTCACTGAACCTTCTGTACAGATCAATGTAGAAATAACCCAGAAGTTCACCAGAAGTCAAGTCAAAAACAGAAAAAACTCGAACATCAAAATGCCAAATGTCAGCACCAGTAATTTCCTCAAATCTTAAACCTGCAGAAAATACAGATAGCATAGGATGCCACAAGCAATACCATAAACCAGATCAATAATTAATCTGGACTGAACAAAGGCCAATAGCCTAGCCAAAAACAATATTTAATATGTATGGTTACCAAAAAGGTCTTGAAATATCTTGAAGATTCCAGATAGAACCAAATTGACAGGAAGGTACTGTTTGAGGGCTCCAATGTCAAGATCAAACTGCTGTTCTTGAACCTTCTTCGCATAGTACAATAGATCCTCAACTCCAAACGGAACCTCTCCCTCCTCTCTTCTCTATTGATCATTACTCAAAAGCAAATAAGACATTTTTCAGAGGAAGGATGAGGGAAGGGAGAAGTTGGAAACAAAGAATAAGCATAAAGCCTAACCTTTAAATCTTTTAAAATGGATAGTTCTCTAGTGGCTAAATCAGTTAAACTGGCAGAGATGTCCTCTAAGAACTCAAAAACCTGTAAGCAATGGAAACATCCCCAAAAGTGACCATTAGGTTCATGAATTATGTCAAAAAATAGCAATCATAATAAGATATGTTTTGGAAACAAATAAAATTCAGGTTTGAACATTGGGTAACTGAGTTCCCATGTAAGAACTTAAATTTAAAAGAAGCAAAAAGGTTAACGAACATTCAATATCAGGAAAACATATCACTAAATTTATAAAGCAACATCCTTTTTTAACTCAAAGCTTAAATGGAACCAAATTCAAACATTCTGTTCAAATTACAAGGATCAGTAGCATAAATGCCATTAATAAATTTAGGATTTCATTCACTTAAGTGATTAAGAAGCAGCCTGGGAATCCTTATTAGTTGCAGGAAAAACAGAAAATATATTCTTTACTGGGGTCCCCCTCCCCCATCTCAATCAGGAAACTGATCTAACTGTTATAACCTTACAAAGCTTACTGTACTTGGTCAAGAGAATGTCAATTATAGAAACCCATTGATAAATAATTAACCCAGATCAACACAGAATAAATCAGAGGGAAGCCCATTTACACTCAACATTGAATGCTAAACAGGATATCATTCCAGAAAAAGAAGATACTATGCAAACCTTTGAGGATGTCTTTGCCATTCTATGATCAAGAGCATAGTCTGCATAGTTTGAATATCCAAGTAAACGAGCAAACTTATGACGTGCTTGGACCTAAATCACAGGAAAGCCAATATCTGTTAACATTTAAATTCTTCCACAGCTATGGTACAAAAAAGTGAACAAATTGGAATAGAAAACTGAAACACATCCCTTAAATCTACATGACTGAGAAATTTTCAGAAAAAACTTTTGAAGAAAAGAAAGACTTGAAAGAGTTATTTATTGAGATTGCATGTCATAATGGTTCTATGATACTGATTAGTTAGTAAAGTCACACACTCACACCGCAATGTCATGAAATTTACACCCCAGAGTTGTAAAAGGTTTTTCACAAAGCACCTTATCTAAATATGTATGTTTCTTATTCTTAATTAATTTTCATTAATTTTTTTTATATATTTTTACTAATTTTAATTAATATTATATATTTTTAGAATGTAAAATACCAAAAAACCTATTGCTACAGGATAGTGCAACACAACACTCTCAAACCAAACCTAAGTTTAGCAAAGCTAAAAAAAATGTTTAAATATAAAATCATAAGGAGAGAAGAACAAAAACAACCAATGTTCATACAAGGCTATATAACTTGATATCATTAAAGCCACACTTATTCATTTAAAGAGAAAAATAACCTTTTATCATGAAAAACACTGTTTTGGATTTAATTTGACACAGTACACATTATGCCAAGGCTTGTAATATGAAACCAACTTATAAGTTCATTTCTCTTTCCAATATATATTTCATGTTCAGAAGTAGAAGATAATGCAATAAATACCAAATCTTCCAAGATAGACAGATTAACTTCTCCACATCTCTTTCCATAAGCCACAGCTACCAACCTTCTTGTCTTTCCAACCTGCAAAGGCTCAAAACCAAAATTGTAAACCCCATAAATTTGACTTCCATACTTCATGCAATGATCAAACTCAAAACTGCATTGAAATTTTTGTTTGATAAAACAAAAAAAAAAAAAACAGAATACACTGTGTTTTCCTCAGAAAAATGGCTCCCAAGGTCACATGTCAGACAATGTCAGACAAGTTCAGGGCTGCAGGGCTTATACATATCTACCCAACATTTCCTAAATATGGACTCTGAAATAATTACTGATTTAATCAATCACACTACATTAAAGCCATATAATACTCCTGAATTTCTTAAGCATATACAAAGAACTGATGTCAGAAACCTAACAATGGATGCTGCAGGCTCATAGCAAATTATTGGTTAGAATTTACTGAAGCAATATACTATCCCAACAAAATAATCAACTTCCATAAGTTAAAATCAAATGATTCAACTATAAACATAAATTATTTAAACATTGTTGCTGATAACAAGGGATGGACGTAATAAGGTAACATCATTGAGGATGTCAGGCATAATTAATGAACTCGAATGATCATACCTTGCATAGCTCCAAGACTGCTGCAACATGATGACTTTTGAGTGTAACCTTAAACATCCCATTTTCAACTTTTTCTAAACTCTGCAGATGTAGAAATCAATTCCAGTTAAATATAAAATAAATAAGTACATGTTTTCACCCTTGGAATTGATGATGCACACAATCATTTATCTTTTGAAAAGCGCTGAGATTTGAAATCTAAAATGAATATTTATTTACTTCTATTCATTAATAAGTTGAACATAATCAGTTACACAGATCCCGTAGTTCTAAAAACAAATCAAAGTTACGTCCAAAATTAAGACCAGCAAAACCAGAGACATGCTAATTTATAACCAAGTGCAAATTTATATTGGGAAGACAAGCATCATAAACCAATTTAAACACAAAATTTGATACATTGTCGTAACCTTTCCTTCAACAGAGGCAGCAAAGAAGTGTAAATTTCCTTTGAAACAAAATTCCGTTTGAGATAGTACGAGAGTAAATAAGAAAATGAAAAAATATGGACCTTAAGGAACTCTGTAGGTAATCCAGCCAGCTCTAGCTCACTGAACAGAAGCAAAGTGCTATCATCATTCAAATTTTGAATATATCGCAAACTTAGCTCATCAATTTGAGATCTCAAGCGCTGTACTTCCTCTCTTTTGGTCACAGTAAGGTTCAATCCATTCTGCTCAAAGTCTCTGATCTGTCACTGATCAGAAAGCAATCAATAATTGGAGCATTGGACTGAACAGCCAACAAACTAAGTGCAAGTTCAGACCCCAAGAAGGCATTATTTATAAAACCTTGGATTTTTTTATCAAATGACAGCTAACAAACATGTAAGAAAATGTAGACTCTTCCTTACCAGCGACTGCACAAAGCGTTTAACTTCAGGGCCTAACCATTCCCCCCTTGCAGCAAATGCTTTGACAACACGGTATACATCTTCACGCTTACTAATTAGCAAAAAGAACAATATTCAGTTCCATTCCCAGTTAACAAATGGAAAGTAAATGATTAGCTTGACAATCATTAATTAGACAATCTAATTCTTACATATATAACCAGTTACATAGGAATAATCAGTTTGTTCAGTAAAGGTGTTAAAAGCTAAATGTTTGTATCAAGTAAATAGAAATGATTAGTTATATAGCCTTGAGAGTGTTGAAAAAGTGCTCATAGGGGAGGCTAGGCAGAGGCATCACTTAGGCATGGAGCTGGGTGTTTCTTTTATTTTTTAGATTTTCTTATTTTTGCGAGAAAAGAGAAACACCTAGAGTGCCTCGGTGGTTCCTAGGCACTGCCCAACACCTACCATTGCCTAAGGCTTTCTGCAACATAGAAGCATAGCATATGAAGAAGAGATAAGGAATTAGCAAATGAGGAGACCTGCATGACGAGATGTGAGCATCTATTCTCCTCTCTGCTGCAGCACTTGCTTTGCGCACACTATCCGAAGTAGAAACCAACTTTGGGAACACACATGACTGCACTAGTGGAAACTGCTCTGCCTCCAATTCTGCTAGAGGTGATATCACATTCTTATATGTAACCTGCATATTTAATAACACCAAAAACTCTTCACCATATTTCTCAGAATTACTAAAGTTTTTCAAAATTTCAAAAGCACCTGAGCATTTCACATGAGCAATTAAAAGTAAAATAAAATAAAATTGCTAAATTGCACTTGCACAACTATAAAGCGAAGTATCGATTCTTGCATGAAATACTTGAGAAATTAGCAAAGGAATTCAATTAGAAAAACAACTGCAACGAACAGAATTCTAACTTGGTAAATACCTTATCAACAGGAACCGAAGCAACCGCATCATGAACCTCTTTCGACTTGGCAATGATTCGATCAGCTAATTTGAGAATCCCACTCTCCGAGAGATTAACACGAACAGTAGATCCCGGAAGACCTAAATCAAACAACAAAACCAAAAAGTCAATAAAACAAAAAGACAATCACCGCGTTCGAGATCCACTGAGCAGGAAAATTCAGGTGTTTCCGAGACGCAGATTAAGCAAGCAACCTTTCTTCCTCGACCTTCTTCTCTTAACGGCGGAGATAGCGAGGTTGATGGCGAGAGCAATGACAGCGGCAGCTCCAGTGAGGACAATGACGTTTTGGCCTCTCTTCTGCTTCTTCATGTTCTCGGAATCGCTTTCACCTTCCATTCGGTATCAGGATTGTATTCTCTGGTGATTTTCTCGGGAGCCAAACAGAAATTTTGGGAGGGAGGGAGGGAGGGAGGGAAGGGCGGAAAATGAAATGAAGATGAAATTGACTTTTGCGAAGCCGCGCAATGAGGAGAGATTTTTGCTCTCAAAAATTTTTGAAAACTTTCAATCCAGATTTGGAAGTTCAGGCGAGTTGTCGTTTTCAGGGGTTTGCGACGTATTAATACGAGTGGTGGATAGGCCCGTCTTGATTGGTGGATTTGTCCAAAGTCAGAAAATGGGTTTCGGCTTCCTGGTGAAGATACCAGCCTGGAGGCCCTGGACCAGTAGTAGCTGGTAGTAGGTAGCGGACGATATTTTGGGCTTGAATCCGCGCGCCAGAATTTTTTTTTTTTTTTTCATAATAATATTTTTGCAAAATGTATTGAGAAAAATTAAGACATCTTACTACTTAAAAATGTTAACAACAATAATAAAAGAATTAAAATATTTAATAAATTAACATAAAAAAATATTAATTAAAAGTAATAGAATAATTTCACATGAAATTTTTATATTTAAAATGTTAAAATATCTTGAATTTTACTTCTTTCTTTGTAATTTAATTATTATTTTATAAGTTTAGAGAAAATCAAAATGTTCTAGCAATTAAAATATGAGAAGTAGAGATGATAATTTTCTCCACATCCTATGGGGTTTTGCTAGGATCTGCATTGCTGATATGAAAATTTTTAAAATATTCCTTATTGCAATGCAAAGATAAAAATATTCCTTATTGCAATGCAAAGATAAAGGGGTTTTTTTTTTTTTATAAAATTTTGCAATGAATTTTTCTCATCTTATAGGGATGTCTAAATAAAAATAAAAAAAATTATAAACTTATATTTTTAAAAATATATATTAATGAACTCAATTACTCAAATAATATTAATGCCATTTTTTTTATTATATTGTCAATATCAATTTTACTTAAGTAGTTAAATGCGATTTATAAAATATTTACCTTCAATGTTGAGTTTTGATTAGTCTACTAATTTTTTTTTAAATGAGTGCTTTTAATTTTTAAAACATTCATACTATGGATGAGATATTCTTAAATGAGTTTAATGTGTGTTAATGAAGTATCAAGTTTAACTCTTTTTAAAAGTAGAAGCAATATTTTTATATTGCATTTTTATGTGTGAAAAGAATTTCAAAGTAAATTAATTGAGATATATATAGTCCAGTTTTAATTTTATTAATCTTCTATATGTTATTTCTCTGCTTTTATTCCTTTTCCTATTGAATTTGTAAAATATTGGCTTCATAAAATTACTTTCACATGGCATTCTTTGTATTAAAAAATTACATGGCATTTTAATTTAATTATTTGTTTTCATCTTAATTACCTAATAAATGTCTAGCTCAAAAGAACATACCCCCACCAATTTAAATCTCAAATGAAAACATTTATTTTACTTTAACCAGAATCGTCCACACCTGAAGGGACCCTCATTCCCTGCAAATACAGGGATAGGGGTGAGAACGAAGTGCATTTTTTGCACCCCGTCAAGATTCCCCACAAGATCCCAAGAGAGTCACCATCCCTAGTCAAAATAATAATAATAAAAAAGACTTAAATTATTGTAAAATAAATAAAGAATTAATTAAAAGAAAAAAAAAAGAAGAAAATTTCAAGAGACAAAGTGAAATAATACAAAAATATATTATATTTTCATTCTTGCAATCTCCATTTGTTTTTCGTACATTTTCATACATTTGTAAAAGTACACATAAGTTACTTTGGTGAGAGGAAATGCATATATACGTGACCTAACGTCACTGATTCTGAAGGTAATATGTAACCCCTTGCGAATTTATTCAAAAAAAAAGTACACATAAGAGCTAATATGTGATAAGAGTTACAAAAAATAAACACTTATTAAATGAGATGTTACAAGTATTAATCTCCTACTAATTAAGAGGTTACAAAGAATTCTATTATCACCATTTAAATGCATGACATTGTGGGATACTAATCACTATTGTAATTGTATGGAGGTAATAGAAGTTACACCATTATTTGATGTGCAAATGGTATGGAAAGTGGAGAGGTGAGAGGATAAAAAATATGAAACATCCATAATGAATTGATTTATAATATAAATATATTAATAAATCAACATATAAAGAAAATTTATTAAAACTTCATTAAAGAGTATTGTGATGTGACTTTAGGTTTTTTATCTTTTCTTCTATCAAAAAAAATATAAAATATTAATTAAAATTATTAAAATATATAAAACATTAACTAAAATTAATTATTTATAATAAATTTACATTTTTAGATACAAT